TGTGCAAGGCTTCTAAACTAGCTACAGGCTGTACGGGGGTGGGGGTGTGGGGGGGTGGCTAAGAGGGTCCGAGCCCTCCAAGCTGAAGACCACAGTAAAAAGAGTTCTGTACAAAGTTACCAAATCTGCAAGGCTGAGCGAGCAGAGCGGAGGCTCAGCCTTGAGCCTCTCCACGTGGATCAACGTGCGGGGAGGCCTGGCCTGGGAGCACACCAGGTGTGGTGGAGGCACGGGGACACCAAGCGGGACGCTATGTACACATTTACAGGGCTTGGGAAGGGCCAGGGGAACGAGAGGGTGTAGAAAAGGGGCAGTGGGGACATGGGAACTCCTGTACAGCGGAGACGGAAGGAAAAAGGCACAAGGACAACGACCCCAAACCATGCAGACGAAACACAGCCTGTGCAGCACAGCAAAGCAGAGGGGCCGCGCGGGAAGCAGTCTCCCCACAAACCCAGGGGCCCAGCAGGAGGCGCAGGCCCCCCCAGGCAGCAGCACTCATGTCCTGCGTGGGCAGCCCTGGCATGCCATTCTCAGCCACCCTTCCTGCTGGGGGCTCGGGGCAGACAACCCTCCCCCTACAGTCTCAGGGAGAGAGAAGGAGCCTGCAAGATCGGAGTGATGTACGGCATCACACTTCACCAAGTCTATGCTTCTAGAAACCTTTCCAGAAGGCACCCGCTTTTCTCAGGTAGGCAGCAGAGAATGTGGCAGAAGGGCCTTAGAGCTGTTCTGCCACGAGGCTGGGCAGGCCCAGAAGGTCCCTAAGGTCAGTGAGTCAAGGGAAGGAACTTGCCTGAAGTCACCCAGGGGTACGTGGCCCCTCAACAGTCAGGGGGTACCAGCCTGAAGCATCGCCCCACAGGGGCTGCCCTAGTCCCGAAGGAGGCACGACCGGGGAGGGGGCCAGCACTGAAGTCCTCAACCTAAAACCCTCCTTAGCACTTTCAAAGAGTTGCCATGGATCTGCCAGGCAAACAGTCATTTCCTTGGCATGGTGACCATCCCCAAACTTCCCCTTTTAGGTTTAAATTTGCTAATGCGTTAAACACACACAGCCACAGAGCACAAAAAGCGGGCTTAATTCTTCCCTGAGCCACCAGGCCCCACTGGCCCCTGCAGGTTTCTGCCAGTTATGAAGCCCCTCCTTGGAACGAAAGCGCCTACGCGGTACCCTCCTGACCACTGCACCTGACGGGCTCAGGAACCAGACTTGCCGGCAGATGAGTGCCCGGAGCCTCTAGAACATGGGCTGGGATGCTGGTTTGACTACTAACAGTGGAAGAGCTGGGGTGACGCTCCTCCACCCAGCCTGAAAACAGATCAGAGGCCAGTGTCCCCTCCTGCTCAGCTGTGCGAGTAGAAGACTGTTTCTGGGGCTGCTTCAGGGGGACGGCCCCTCCCTGACCCCTGACTCCAGAATGGGCCTGTGCGCGACTCCATGGGCACCAGGCGGAGACTTGCCACTCAGGTTTGCTAACCCCCAGGCTGGAGAGAACAGCTTGGTACACCAGTTCCTGAAGGCATCTGGCCTCCCATCCCTGGGGTGAGGGATCTGCTCACAAACCATCAAAGCCATCGACACCCCCACTGTTAAAGTAGCACCTGGATTAACAAACCCAACAGCCATTTCCACCCTTGTTTTCTCCATCCCTGACTAGGAACCTTCTAGTCTCAACCTTGGGCTAGAAGATCACTTTAAACATCTGGATGCCTGGGCCACACCCACACCAATTACACTGGAATCTTGGGGTGGGGCAGCTCAGTCAGCAGAATTTCGAAAATCTCCCCGGGGTTATTCCGATGCACAGCCCAAGTCAAAAACCACTATTTCGGGTCCAAGTGCCTTGGGAGGTTCTTGAGCTCTGTGTTTGTAATAAGTGAGAAATAAAGTCAGAATAAAGGCATTTCCCTCTGACAATTCTCAAAGAATGTACAAACTTAAAATAATCTGTCTAGCTTGGCCAATTCAAAAGTTTCAAATATACACTTTTTTTTTTTTTAACGAGAACTTTATAAAGCTCACTCGCTGATTCTGCAAATTTTGTTTGGCTTCCCGTTGAATGTAAGGATAGCCAAGTGCCGTGTAAAATGTGGGTCTGTTGTAGGACCCCCCTCCGAGTGCCCCCGAAACACTGCTCAACTTTGGATGAGTTACTACTAATCCCTACTAGGTAGAGTTGCCAGGTTTAGCAGTAACAAAAAACAAAACGCACCTGGGCACTCAGTTAAGTTACAATCACCTGGGGGGGTTCTTTAAACATTCCAATAGCTGGGCCACACCCCACGGCAAGGAAATCGGATCCTCTGGGGATTCGGCCCAGGTATCAGAATTTTTAAAATCTCTCCGTTTTAGATGTGTCCCAAGTATTGCATGGAACATAACTTCTATTAGGAGTTGTGTTTTGTTTGCCTGAAAGGCACACCGCGCTGGTCATTGTGTGTACTACTTAAGCCGTTCCAGCACCCAGAGAGAAGAGGGGGAACTCTCAATCAGACAACACACAAAGGAGGGGGAAGCCCAGGAAGGGGGCAGGGTCTGCCCCATGTGCTCCCAGAGTCAGTACCGCTCTGGAACCCTCGCTGGGGTCCATGGGGCTGGGACCCTGGCCGCATGTGCCTCCCGAAAGCTAGCTTTCACGCATAGAAGAGCAGTTAAAAACACGACATGATCTTGAAAAGCCAACTAGAATGACAGCCTAGGTTTTTTAAAGACGATTTTGGTTGAAGAAGGTTGGATTGAACCTGAGGCCTGGGTAACATGGAGTTTAGTCTCGTTTTAAAGTCAGCCCTCTTCGAGACCCCCATGCACAGCACTAGATCCCTAGGGGCCTTTCAGACGAGGCCGCTCCGGTGGCGCCCCCTTCAGGAAGGGGGCAGCAAAACATGGCAAGCCCACCGCTTTCCACCCCTTTTCAACAAAGCAGAAATTCCCTCCCACATAAGGCCTCTGGGGCCTTCTCTGGAATTCCGTATCAGTGCAGCTAAAGAGCATAGAAAGTTTTACATACAAAATGCTCACTCCTACGGACTCCCCCACGGACCAGGACCTTGATCTGGCTGGCCTCCGAAGGGCTCCTTCCAATGTAAATCCAGACCAAAGCCAAGTCATGATATGTTTTCTTTCCTTTCCTTTAATTTGGGGCCACTGCCGCCTTTTAGCAAATTCTCAAGAGACCCACTCCTCTCTGCCTTCTTTCTACTGCCGCTGCTGCTTCTCAGACCCCGGAGGAGCCCAAGGACACCAGCATCCTAGGGGCTTGAGGGCTCTCAGAAGATGGACCCCTTGCCCTAGTCTTCCTGGGGTGGCTGACCCCAAAGTCCTGGATCGGACCAACACAGCCCCATTACCTGCAGCATGAAACAAATCCCACACATGAACTTAAAAGAGAAATCACACGATCCAACAACAGCAGAAGGTGACTGGCATGGAGTGAAGACCGGTCCTGGCCACAACCCTGCCTTTGTGAACAGGGAACGTGCATCCCCAAGCCCCCAAGCCCCTCTTCACCCTCTACAGCCCTCTCTTCCTTGCGAACACCCCTCCAGCCCCTCCCCAACATGCCCAAACTTTCCTTTTTAGACCAGAATTGAAGACAAGAAGAAACTGCAGGGGAAAAGATTAAGACCGTACATGTTCAAATATACTTGGATTAAGGAAACGAATCACAAGCCATGTACCACTGAGACAAACTGGAAGGCTCAAAGTACCCTATCTACTCCTAGCTGCCTAGAACAAAAGATCACATTAAAAGTCCAGTGTCCATTTCCACCACGTGCCACTGAGGATGGAAAACTAAGGTTTCCCTACAACGTCCCCAACTGTGTCTCTCACTGGCACACCGCACCTGGCTGAGAGCAGGATGCAAGAGAGTGTTTCTAACAGTTGGAACCCGGGGCCCTCGCCACCCAGCTGAGCCAAGCCCAGAGCTCAGAATCCCCAGGCCGTGCGGAGACCGGGAGCTGGGCAGCAAGGCAGCCCACTCCTTGCCCGCCGATGCCATGAAAACAGTCCCTCCGTGTTTCTCTTCTCTTCTAGTAAAATGCAGCCAGAGGGAAGGAAACGAACAGGGGTGTGAGCAAGCTCCTCCCTGAAAAGCAGGTCTTTGGATGCCCAATGCCAACACGTACTTTAGACACCCCTGGCCCCCGGCTCCCCCATCTCCTTTTGAATCCCTTTACTGTACCCCCAAGTTAAATGCTGCTTATTTTTCATGGTCTTAAAAATAGAACAGAAAGAGGTAGGTAAGCAGGGTTGGGGAAGTGTACAGAGACCTCTAAAAATACCAAGAACTCTTAGAATGAAGGTCGCCCCACGTTAGCTCCTCTGCAAGCCTGAGTCCTTTGGACACACAGTGCCCAAGGATAGCGGGGGGCTGCCAGCTGGGGAGGGGCTCTGGGAGGGCCCCTTCATTTTTTCAGAGCCTGAGCACCTAGGCTTCAAAGGTGGCCAGAGAGGTTGGGGAGGATGCAGCTGTTGGGCATTTGAACTCCTGGAAAAGATCACAAATTGGCTCTCACTCCCAGAGGGAACAGGGGTGGGGTGAAAGAGCCTGTCTCACTAGAGTGTGTTTTAATCCTTCTCCCCAGAGGTAGAATCATTTTTGTCCTGTATCTGAAACACCATCTTCCAGTTCTTGTTATTACAGTAACTCCTGATTGCAGACCTTGCCCCTCCCACCTCCAGGGCCATCTGCCCTTGCAAAGGGCTCCGTGTGGACAGGAATGGCAGAGATCTCATCCACAGCCACGGCCCCACACTCACTCCTTGCTGCGTGCACGTATTCCCCCACATACACACCAGTACACACGACATGGTGGCCAGAGATACATTTACAGTGTGTGTGTGTGTGTGTGTGTGTGTGTGTGTGTGCGCGTGTGCGTGCGTGTATGTGTGTGTGTGGCCCAGCTTGGGCTGCATCCTCAAGCGGGGTCTGCCCCTTGGTCCCAGGGCCCGGGGTCTGAGGGTCCCCGAGGCTGCTCTGCAGCCAGCCCTTGTCTCAGTGTTTGATCTCAAGGATGGAGGGGTTGTGGTCCAGGATGGCAAGGATTATCTTGTCCATGTACTGCCTCAGCCGGAAGTTGATCTCCTCCTGCTCCTTCAGGGCTTCCATGAGCTGGAGGGAATGGGAGACGTGGGTCAGAGGCCGGGCCCGGGCTCCGGTGCAGAGGGAGCCCAGATTCCCAGCTTGCGGTGAGCCAGTGCCCGACAAACGAGGGGCTCAGGAGACCCCGGGCAAGGCAGACCCCAGGACCACCTCAGCATTCGGCTGCCAGAAGCAAGCTATAGCAGCTCTGGGAGGGCCCCTTCTCACACCTAAGGAGTGAGAGCCATGCACGTGCCCAGGCCCCGCCCCCAGGGATTCGGATTCAGCTGGTCTGTGGAGGGACCCAAGTAGAAGCAATTACTTGGTACAGGCCGAGAACACTGGCCAAAGACATTTATGATCAAGAATGACATCCAAAGTCCCAGGGCCCTAAGACTCCCGAGGTTTCTAGCCGTTTCCTCTACCCGAAATGGCCCCCTCGCCACCCTGGCTCTGCCACCCACCCTGTGTGGATCCATTCCTGACATATCCTTTAGGAGGAAATGCTGCCTCTGCCCCCAGGCTGGAGACCCTTGAGATGAGGGGTCAGCTCTTAGCTCTGTGTCCCAAGCACAGGATAAGGGGTTCAGGGACTTCTTAACGATTGACGTTAATATATAACCAGGACATTTTGGAGGCCTGATCTTTTATAACCACACCCTGGTGGGGCAGAAAGAATGGACTTTGGTTCTGGAGACCTGGGTCCTTCGCTCCCCACAAGTTGGGTGATCTTGTATCCTAGTTTCCCAATCGGGAACATGGAAGCGTCCAGAAAGCCTTCCAATTGTCAGAAGATATACTACAAGCAGGTGCTCAAGAAAGGCTAGGGTCCTCCCCTTCTTGGCTTGAGGGAGAGGAGTTCTAGCCTCTCCTGCGTTACCTGTTGATGGAAGCATGTTGCTCGACTGGCATGTTTCCGTCTGTTCCCAAACCCATGCTTCTCCCAGTGAGTGGAAGAATCAGAACTGACGTAACTCCACCTATAGCCAGAATCCCTCACGGCTCCAGTCTGCTTTTCCGGCTCGAGGTGGCCTGGGGCCTCTCGTCACAGCACATGGGAATGGGGCAGGACAGAGGAGGGGCCGAGACTCCAAAGTGAGAACGAACGGCCGTGTTACCTCATCGCGAGAGGCTGTGTCTATCTCTGCAGCCAGGGACTGGGCTTTGGTCTGGGTGGCAAAGAGGCTCTTTGCTTCATAGAGGCTGAGGCTCAAGATCTGTCCATTCAAGTCATCATTCTGGTCCCGCAGCTTATGATTCTCCTGTGGAGGACAAGGGCGACATCAGCTCCCAGAAGTGTTCAGAACCCACCAGAACCCGTTTCTTGGCATTCACGGTCTCCTGACTCCCACCAGCACCCTCCTCTCGTGCGTGTCATGGCCAGCTCAAGATGCCCATAGATGATGGGGCCTCTGCCGGGCTTAGGGGGGAGGTCTGGATGTTGAGAGGTCAGGGGGTCCTGAGGAGGAGTTACAGGCCTGCTCAGGGGAACTAAGTTGCCAGGTAGGGGCAGGGCTCCCGGCCACCCCTCCTCCCTGGGGGTGGGTGAGCCAGAAGAGGAGCTCCTGAGGCCCCACATGGGGACACGGCCCACGGGGTGGCTCCTTTTCCAACCCCGGCCCTCCATGAAGAGTGATGCTCTGGGGTCTCTGGGCTGGCAGGCTGGATCTAGGCTCCTCCTGTAGCTAGGTTCAGGAGTCCTGCTCCGGGACAACTCCTTCCAGGGGCATCTTTGCTCCCAAGTACAGGTGGCCCCACAGTGCCCTGCCCAGACCCCACGGACCAGCACCATGTGCTAGTGTTTGCCTCAAGTCTCCTAACTAACTGCTCACACCTGGGACTTTGGACGTCCCGTCATGAATGAGGAAGGGCTGGGGATTTAGGATTGCTGTGGGGTGCTGGTGAAACCGACTCAGGAGTATAATTTATAGAGCCGTTCCCCCCCACCCCGCCCCTAGGATCAGGCTAGGCTGAGTAGGAGCTTCACTCACCAGCACTCCCTCGCTTGGTCTCTGCCCCTCCTGATCCAACCTCCCCCAGCTGGTCTTCGATCATGGGATTGTTCCCAGGAACCATTTGAAATGGAACCCTGGGCTCAGGGTCTGCTTCTGGGAGAACCCAACACAGCAAGACACCGGTGTGCAACTGGGTAGAGTCTCACTCTCCATCCCATCATCAAGGACAGCAGAGTGGTGTCTATTTCCTTGTATGGACTCCAAGGAAAGCCCCTGGGATTTGCATCAGACGCAGCCTAGAGGGAAGCCGCCTCACTGAGCGGTGAGGTGGGGCCGAGCAGCTCCGCCAGTCAGGGAAGGCGGTGTTACAGCTCTTGGCCCCTCCGAGGAGACCCATCCCGTGGGGAGGGAGGCGGCAGTGGCCCACCTGCTTGAGCCGCTTGACCTCATGCTCCAGCTCCACCTCGCGGGCCCTGGCGCTGAACTCGCCCAGGCTAGAGGACGAGCTGCGACCCCTGCCTGGCCGCTCGCAGTCCAGCTTGTACATCTGCAGGTGCTCTAGCTCCTTCCGCAAGTCCTCGATGAGCTGCGTCGGGGAGAGGCGGGTTGGTGGTGGGAGTAGGGCCGCGGGAGTGAGCCCTGGTGGCGCCGCCCCCCCCCCCCCCCCCCCCCCCCCCCCGCCCGGGACCCACCTCCTGCGTCGCCTCCCGTTCCCTCTGGAACTCTAGGCGGTTCTGCCGCAGCTTGTCCATCATGCGCTTGTACAGGTCCGTCTCATCCTTGAGCCGCAGGCTCGTGTCCTCCAGCCGGTCAGACATGCGCTGCCGCTCCTGAACCGGAGAGTGGGGGGACCCGGTCAGGGAGAAGCTGCCCAAAGAGGCTCGCTACGCCCCGGGGACTCGGACAGGGCCTGGGAGTCAGGGCTTAAAGAAACAGCCTGATCCCTTAGGATTCTAGAAATACGGCTAAAAAATGTCAGGCCTCTGACGTCCTTCCCTGGTGCCAGATGAAACCTGAATCAGGTGCAGCCAAACAGAAGTTAACCTCCTTCTCTCTTTTTTATTATTGTTTTCCCCCTTATATAAGAAAATATATTCACTGCAAACAAACAAACACACACCTCGGAAAATCAGAAAGACAGAAAGACAAATTACTATTCATATTTTATCGCCTATTGTTGTTGTTAGGGCAATTCTATTAGAATTCCAGAAACTAGCAACTGAAGGCCTCTGTGGCCAACATTGCCTCTCTGGGGACTGAGCTCAAGATCCGAGCCTGACAGACGCCCAGACCTGCCGCTCACCTCATCCAGCTTCTCTGTCTGCGCCTTGAGCCGGGTCACTGTTGTTCTGAGCTCGGCATTTTCCTCCTCTAGTTGCTGCACCCTGGGGAAAGGAGAAAGACAAAAATGTCAGCAACGGAGATGATCTTACAATAGACCGACAACTTGCAGCGATTCTCTGCTGCCTGGAAGAGGGAAGGTACCGGAAAGCAACAGAGGTAGAGCAAGAGAATATGTTATTCTCTTCCAGAATTGGAAGAGTTATTCCAGATGATAATACAGCTCTAAGCTTCCTGTCATCCAAGGCGAAATGGTAAAGACCCTGAATGACCATCCTTACGTTTTTGATAAAAGAAAACATTCATTTGTGAGTAAGAACACAGGATTCTTTTTGCACACGTCCTTAGGAGGGATGTTTTTCTGCTAAACAGACAGAAAGTCGTCCTGTGGCTGGCTGTGGCCGGACTTTCCTGTTAGAACTCACACTCAGAGAGCAACGACAATATTTGCTTGTCTTTCTCCCCCAGGCATCGCCCCCCAGGCTCTTCGCTCAGCTCGCCCAGTGGCCCCCTCTGACACATCCACAGGCCCTGGTTCTGACGGTCCCAATTCTCTGTGTTCACAGTGGGCTGTGCCAACGGGATTCCCCGGGGAGACACAGCCCAGGTACCCGGTCGTGGTAACTGACCTGAGGCCAGGGGAGGTGGGTTACCAGTGGCACCAGAACAGTGCAGGGTCACCTCTGCCACTGATTCCTACCGAACATTCCCTCTCCTTCGCACTTGTCACCTTGGGGCTCCCCAGGAGCACAGGGGCAGGCGTCCTCTCTGCCAGGGACCCAGGTGGTCTCCTGGGGGCCTCGCTGGCCTGGGTCATTAGCGAGGGCCACGGCGCCCTAACTCACCTGCCTTCATGGTCACTCGGGGGGGCAGGGAGGGAGGGATGACAGATGGGGAAACGGAGGCCCAGGAAAGGACGCGGTAGGTCCAAAGTCATGGAGCTAAAGGGTGACCAACCCAGATCCCCAGGTCAATACTCCTCTCTCTGCCTGCCTCAGCTTCCAACAGCTATCCCTGAGGTTCGGAAGCCCGAAGGAAACCGGGCCCTGCTCTTCATTTACCTTGGCCCCTGGGGCCCAGGGTCAGTGCACCCAAGCGTTCAGGGTCAGGGTAAATCTGACAGCAGGGGGAGCTCCGAGCCCGGACATCAGACCCAGCCCAGGACTAGGGGCAAGACCACTGTTTTTCCACCTGTTCTCTTGTTGACAGATGTGTGTTGTTTCCAGTTGTATCTAGTATGAACAATGCTACTACGAAGGTTCTGTTATGTACTTCCTGGCAAACATGTCCAGGAAGGGGCCAGGGTCAGGTATCAAGAGGAGAACCGTTAGAACCGGGGGCTTTCCTTCAGGCTCCGTGTTCCAATCTATACAATGGGGATAGTGCCTGTCCCACAGGCCTGAATGAGGAGTGCAGGGTGCGTCTGAGGGCACAGGGCTCTGTGGAGAGGCCCCGTCCCGCGCGCTGGGCCATCCCTGGCCAGGGCCCACCTGGTGTTGAGCAGCTCGATCTCCGTGCTCTTCTCTCTCTCTAGCTTGCTGTAGGCCTCACGGTGCCGCCGCGCCTCCTCCTCCAGGGCCTGCTCGGCCATGGTCTCCTGATCTTTCACCATCTCCTCCAGCTCGTGCACCCTGAGGAGAAGGGCGCACACTCCGGTCCAGGGTCGGCTCTTGTGGCCACTGTCTTCCCACCTCAACCTTGGCTGCGACTCCGGGAGCCCCCGGCCCCAAGACCCCGGCTCAGTAACAGCCCTGCTGTGGGAAGTGGCGGCCTGTTTGCCAGGCCTGGGGGTCTGCAGCTTCGCTGACATGCCTTCAGGACACCACGGCACGTAAGGGGAGGTGGACCGGCCAAGCTCACCACCCAGGGGGGCACCTGGCAGTTGGTCCAGAGGGGAGCAAGGCCGCACCAAGAAGGCGGCACCCCCAGGCCAGGCACAGGGAAGGACAGCAGGCCTCGCCCTGGCCGCACGGAGCAGCCCTCGGGCCTCCTCTTTTCTTTCTGCTCTCCTCCTTCCTGGCCACTGTCCTCTGACCAGCAATTCAGTGACTGGCCACCTTGATTCCAAAAAGGGATAGGTCCTTTGATAGTGGCCCTGAGCGTGCCCGACCCAGGAAAGGGCGGGGTCCCACCAGGAGCCTCACTGGCAGAGCAGCCTAGCGCACATTTCACCGGCAATAGTCCCTCCGGGAGGCTGACCTTCTGGGGTGTCCAAGAGAACCCATTTTTGGGCCCTGCAAGGTTGAGGACCAGACCCCGGCTGGGGATCAGCTTGCCAAGTTTCATGCCATCCTGTGAGGACCACTACACTGTGCAAGCGCTACCTCGCTGCAATCGTGGTCGGGAGGAGGGGCGGCGATGCCTGGACCCTTCCACTAGCAGCAGGTGCGAGCCCCCGACTCGCACCAGTCTCTCCCTCTGCAGAGCCTGTCCCCGGATGGCGGGGGAAGGGGTCAGAGAAATAGGAAAGCGGATCCCAACTCCTGCCTTAGACCCACCCTGGGGCTGCAGACCTGGGGGTCAAAGTCAGGCTCCAACCCGTTTTCAAGTCCCCAGAGACCAGTTCTGGGTGTCCCGCAGGGGCAGGCCCATGTAGTAAGGGGCTAATGCATCACAGCCTCTAGAGGGGAGGGACAAGACATGCGGGTGACCTCTCCCAGCTTTTCTCAGGGGCCTCACAACAGAGACCACTATCCGTTCCCAAGTCACAGACAGGGCCCACCCAAGCCCCCTGGCCCCGACCTGTGCACCAGCTGCGTGTTTTCCTGCTTTAGCTTGCTTTTCAGGTCCCCATTGGTCAGGCTGTCATTTTCCAGTTCAGTCACCTTTTTTTCCAGGAAGCTCACCTGCAGGAGGGGGGCAGAGGTGGGGGTGGAGGAAACCTCTGAGTCCACAGGATGGAGAAGCAGAAACCGTGGGACGGACGGCCAGGTCCCCCAAGTGACTGTGCACAAAGGGTGGTGAGGGCGGGGGCACTTATGTGCCCACGCTAGCAGGGCCGCCTACCCCCACCTCCTGCAGCAAGGACAGGGTCTCCATCCGCCCCCTCAGGACCCACCTTCTCCGTGATGTCGTTGTCACAGGAGTCAATGCTGTCCCGGAACAGATCCTCGGTGCTGCCGTCACTGCTACTGAAGTTGCTGCTATGCATGAGCTGCCTGCAGGGGGGGGGGGGGGGGGGGGGTGAGGGGGGTGAGCAGGGGGGCGTGAGCGGGGGGGGGGGTGAGCGGGGGGGCGGGAGCTACAGAAGCCACCCTCTGGGGCCTGGGGTCCAGAGCAGGCTATGGGCCGAGAGGGGGCACCCACTATGTTGGGGAGGGAGGCCAGGAACCCATCCGAGGAGGCGGTCCTCATCCAGTCAGCAGAGAAGAGTTGCCTGACGTCTGAACTAAGAGATCATCCAGCTCAGAGGCTGGTGGGCGCGACACCCCTCCAGAGCCCCTGGTGGATATGGCCAGTCCCTCACGGCTCTGCCCTGCTGCCTCACCTCCCTTTTTAGGCCGGCCTTCTAGCCAGCAACTAGCCAGTGACCGGAGTGGGCACGTGAGCCCCTGACCACCTCCCTCCAGCTGCATAACCGCCCCGCGAGGGTAGACAGGCTCCACAGGGCTGGCAGACGGTCCTCCTGAGGCCTCCCTGCAAGACTCAATCCCCTCCAGCAAACGGGCTCCTGCTGCACCTCTGGGGACCCTGGGAGAGGGCAGAGGGAAGGAGACCCACCCAGACTGGGCAGGGCAGTAGGCGGGCGGGGTGGTAGTGGGGTCTGCAAACAGGAAACACTTGCTGGGAAACTCTTGCTGGAGGCAAAACCCAGCTACTGCTCTCCAGAGGCCCCCACTTCCCACTCCCTGCCAGGCAGCAGCCAGGGTCTCCGCCAACGAGCTCTCCTGTCCCAGCCCTGCTCCCGAGCCAGAGCCTGGGTGCTTGCTGGCTGCTCCCGGAACCCTGGGCGTGGACCCGGTCCAGTAGGCCGGAGAACCTGGATCCTGAGATCCAGAGTGGGATCCTGGAAGTCCCTGGAAGTCCCGGGAAGTCAGGAGGTGCTGGTCCAGCTGCTGGCCCCAGAGTGCAGGGAGGGCCACCAAGGGCCATGAGATGGGCTGGGTCCCTCGGGGCATCACCGCTGTGCCCGCCTGAAGCTGACACAGCGAGGGGATGGGGCGAGGCCAGCTGCACCACCGCCAGAAGGGGCAAGGGGTGGGGGTGGGAGGCGTGTGACCCTTCTTTTTCAGAGGCAGACCTCTTCTGGCCGCTTGGCCTGCACTTCTGGGGTGCTTCATTCCCCTCTGTGCATTCAGGGGGCCACTACCCTGGCAGTAGGAGCATAATTAAGGGAGACAGCATTCAACCCCTCCTCCCAAGGGGGGGTCTTACCGTCCGAAGGCTGTGCTAGAGATCTTCCGGTTGGGGCTACAGAGAGAGAGAGATTAGAGATTGACAGATTGAGAGAGAGACAGAGGACAGTCATTGAACAGAGGCGGCTCCAGTCCACTTCTAACTCTGCAAGACTCCAAAGTGCAGTATGGGGCTCTGTCCCACCCGCTGCAGGGAATTCACTAATCACCTTGGTCCCGAGTAGAAGCACCCTGATTTTCCTGTCGCAGAAAAATGCAAGCTCCCCAGGCTCAATCCTACTCTGACAGTGCTCTCACACTTGCCAAGACAGAGTGGGGCCACCTCGCCTGAGGCTTCCCCCGCTGGGTCCCCCCACCCCACCCCACCTAGCCGCAGACTCCTATCCCTCTGCTGGGTCCCGGGGCCCCACCTGTTGGCCTTCAAGTTTTTCAGTCGGGCTTCCAAGTCATTCAGCAGGTTGATTTTCTTGCAACACTGAGAGCAGTAAACATCCAGCAATTCACTGTTGTAGGTGTGCCGCATTTTCCTAGGAGTCTGCCCCGCACTGATTCAGGAGAGAGAAAGCAATCACCTCCTGCTCTCCGATCTGCTGCCTCACCTCATCCTGCTGAGCTTACTTTACTGGATTCCACAATACTGGGGACCCTTGTGTTGTGTGCGTTTAGGGGCAGAGGAAGTAGAAATACAGCAACAGATCTCCCCTCCCTCAATGCTCTCAGAGAAGCCAATGAACGGTACCCATTTCACAGATACAGCAACTGAGAGCTAAGCAATGACTAGGTGTGTGGGTCACCTAGAAGGACTCTTTCAACACTAGGGTTCTACTAGGAAGCAAGACAACAAAGACCCCCGAGTCTGCAGGCTCCCAGGTGGGTTCATCCTGAGACAGAAGGAGGGAGGAGGAATTCTAGACCCCCACCAGAGTGCAGAGGCAGCACCCCCAAACCCCGGGAGCAGAACCCATGAAGGTTAGGACTCTGCCCTCTGAACCCCCTGGGACGAGGTTGGGTTGGTCCCGCCACTTCTCCTTATACCCCAAATGCCATTCCAGACCCCGGGGCCACCTGGAAGACACTGAAGATCCCAGGTCCGAGTAGACGTTGGTCCTGGTCTCGTCGTCGGGGCAGGGGCTGCTGGGGGCACAGTCCACGTCGTCCCCCTCCCCATAGTCTTCAAACTGCTCCTCGTTGCTGATGAGCGAGGTGGTGGAGTGTGTGGAGAGGTCTGACGTGGTCATGGACGGAGTGTGGCCCGAGGACCTGGGCGTCAGAGAAGGTTGGCCGTTAACGCAGCCCCATCTGCAGCCCGTGCTGGGGAAACAGGCCAGGCTTCCTGGAGGTCAGTCTGCGCCCCAGAGAGCAGAAGCCTGATCGAGTTTGTGCCTTCTGACCTGGTAAGTACACTTCGGCGACCTCATCCTCAGGGAACACATCTCACCACAGAAATAGTTTCTGCACAAGAGATGTCCAAGCCACTGCTTCTCTAGAGCACCAAAACACCGCTTACCACCTAACGGCTTCCCTACATTAAGTCACAATAAATTATAATACTTATATAGCGTATAAAATCATACATTCTACATTGCTAATATTAGCACATTAAATGATTAAGTTACAGCTGCAAAACTATAATATGGATTAAGAAATTAAATTATCAAATTATGGATTATCTAATTGTTGAAAGGTTTGTAAACGACACTAGCAATAATATGGAAAGATCAGTAGGCATTAAAAGTTACATGTAAAAACTTAAGCCAGAGAAAGTAAAAGGTGTCCGCAGAACAAGGAAAAGCAGGGCATGAAACTATTTCCATGGTCACAGGGCTGGGGTCTGGGCGGTGGGATGAGGAGTAGCTTGGTTATTCCCCTCCATTCTCCCTTTCCTACCTCTTTCAAGTTTTGTTTAATTGGCTTGGACTCTAATAAGAAATGAAGTTTTAAAATAAATAACCGTGAGCTACCAGGTGAGGCGCTCCTCCCGGTTTACAGAGGGGACTTCTGGTCCAAAGAAGCCTCATTGCAAGGCTAAGGTCAGAGACCCTAAGGCCTTTCTGGGGTGACCCACCGTATGGCCCGTGAGGGGCGTCAGGGGCTGGCCGAGCCCTGCCTGCAACCCGAGAAGGAAGCACAACTTGTCAACTGCCAAACAGATCTTCCCTTGAGTTGTGAGCTCATGTCTGCGTATCTTCTCTCATGAGGGACAGTTCTCTGAGCTCCTGGGCCTCCCCGCACCACACTGGGCAACCCGACTCGGTGATGAGAGGCAGGGAACCGGTTGAGGCAGTAATTCTCCAACCGTGCCCTTGAGCCATCCTGGTCTGAGAACCTCCACCCTGTTGTTTTTTTGAAACTCACTTCTCTGCCCTCAAGTTCCTTAGCGCCTTGGGTGGAATTCATCATACTCCTCAGCTCTTTCTCCTAGACATTTTACTAGCCGCCCCCCCTCCCCCCGCTGGCTGCCTCCAGGTGATTGGCCCCAAAAAACAAGGTGAATGACCAAGTGGCAAATGGTTAGCCAATAGGTCACTAGGTCTGTGGTCCCTGACCAGTTGTGCTTGGTGGCTGGTCATAGTACCATGGATGGACTGTTCTCAGGACGCAAAATGGACGAACAACTCCAAAGACCCCACCGCCCCCGCCGAGAACAGCCTGGCTCTCAGAGCCACTTGAGTCTGAGAAGCCCCGCACTGAGAAAATGTATATGAAATTGCCTTCTTCTTCTTCTTTTTTTGAAGGTCAAAAGTGATGAAGAATTGACAATTTCATATGGCTCAACCGATACTGGCCCCCTCTCCCTCCCCAAATCTCTGGGTTGGCTGGGACCACCACTTTCTGATATGTGGAGCTCCAGGCAGCTTTGACTCACTTGTCCTCCGGCAGGAAGAGGGCCCCAAGCCCTCCGTCCTTCTCCTCGGTAACTGACCCCTCCAGGCTCTGGGTACTCTCCATGGGGCTGTCCATGTCTGACTCTGGGGGGCCCTCTGGTGGGGCCAGTGTCATAGCCTCCTCCTCGTCCTCGGGAAAGAAGCCGGGGTCCCTGGGGAGGAGCTCGCCATCAGCAAAGGTCGGGCCTGGCACCTCGCCGCCCTGAGAAAGACAGAGAGGGACAGAATGAGTGAGGCTGGCTCCCCGGGGCTCAGCACGCCTCATCCGACTACAAGGATGCCAGCAGGGCCAGGAACAGCAGACGGGGGGGACAGGGAGGCCCAGACCCCAGGACCTTGAGAACAGGAATACCTGGCAGGTTATTTGTCTTGGACCTCTCCCAGTGGCTGCTTCATGAGAGTCCAGTGAGGGGTCAGAACCCCCGGGCACGGCCATCCATGGAGAAGGGGCCGGCTACATTGCTCAGGGCACTTGGATAGCTCGGCAGGGTCCCCATCACAGTCTGCATAAGCAGCCAATGGCTTTGTGACGGAGTTAAGGGCATAGGCTGTAATGAATGGCCCCCAAGAATGGCGACCCCAACCTAGCAGAACTGGACGCAGCACGGAATCTGCCCCCCCGTGATTCCGGGCATGTCAACTGACCTCTGTGAACCACAGTTCTCTCCGCGGTAAATCGAGAATGACAATGGGATCTTATAGGATCACTGTGTCACTCGGAAGGACCTCAATGAATAAATACTGGCCACAAGACGTGGCTCCAGCCTGGGAGGGGCAGTCTGCCATGGCCCACCCCAGCCATGCTGGGGAGCAAGAACACTGGGTCCTTCGATTCTGAGCTTGGGGTTGGTCCCCAGTGCCCAGCACACAGCCCAGCACAAGGTCAATGCGAGACAAATACTTGCTGGAACCTTTTGCTAAAATCATCTTGCATGTCAAGAGCTCTGGCTTTATTCGGAGTGTACCTAGTCTGAGAGGCAGCTCTCTACAGACCATTTCTTGGGGCTGCCACCTCCAAGGACGCCCTGCTTCCACCTGCTCCCCCCTGAGACGACTCCCAAGATTCTTGGGTGTGCTTCCTGGTGAGGGTGGGCAGAGCCCTCCATGAGAGGCGCTCTGTGCAGCCCCAGGACTGCAAGAGGTGTAATAGAACAAAGGCTGGGCAGGGTCTCCAGGCACCTCGGACAAGAACAGGATCAGGCACAGGCAAGGAAGGTGGTCAAAAACAGACTTGGCTGGGCCCAACGAGAAGGGCGCAGTCACCCGCTGATGGTGGGGGGCAGGCAGCCCTCCTGGCGGTCTCTCCCCACCAAGACTTCCTGGCCTAAGTATAGATGGCAATAATGAGCTTGGCTCCTGCCTGTGCCCTGACTCGGGTTGAGCATCGCATGGACTAATAAAGTCGGCATCAGGCAGCCAGGGCCCCCTGACTGGGGAGGCCGAGGGGCTGTTTAATTAAAACCACCCCTAGTGTTCACACAAGCCCTTTCCACCTTGATGTCACTCGTCCAATCCCACACGGCTCCCAGCCTCATCGGATCTTGGACCCTAAGCAAGGTCCCCTCATCGGTAAGCCCGAAGCTGTGTCCCAGGAGAAACCAACATTTACCGAGCAGTCACCAAGGTCCGGAGACAGAGCAAGAGAGTTAACACAGAATCTTTGGTGGGCCTATGACAACTCTTCAGAACGGGACTTCTGAGCCCCAGTTCAGGAACGAGAGTATTCACAAGCTCACAGAGTAGCCTGCCAGAGCTCCAGAAGTCTTCCAGCCAGCAGGCAGACGGCCACCTACCTCTGGCCACCACCGGCTTGGTTCCATTTATCAGGGCTGCGACCCACACTTCATGCGTTTTTCCGTCTCATGGTGACAAGGAGAAGAGCGTCCACCCGAGGAGCACATTAGTGAGTGTGGAGCCCGGGCACTCCAGCCCATGCTGCCTGCCGCCCGCCCCGGCAGGAAGCTCCCTGCGCCAGTGCGTGGCCCCGAAAGAGAAGCCAGGCAGGGGGGAGACGGCCCACCGAGGGGAGTGGGGCTCCTGGAGGGGCGGCGCCTGCGAGCTTTCTGCCTTCTCAACCACAAGGGCGGGGGGTGGGGTGGGGAGGTTAGCGCTTGCAAGGAAGGCCTGCCTTGGGGCTTCCAGGAGTCCTTGGCCACTTCCCATCTTCAGAGCCCCGTGAGTTGGGTCTCCTTTCTCCCCTTGTGGGGGGGGGTAGGGGTGACTTGCCTGGGGCCCCATGGGAGTTGGTGGCAGGGGAGGACTGGACTGTGAGCCACCAGTGCCTACACTCTCCTCAAAGCACGATCAGCAGGGGTCCCGGGGAGGCCACTGCCCGCCACACTCCCAGGGGGCAGGCAGGGCACCAAGTAGAGACCAGCAGCCATGCTCCTCAGGTGTCCGGCCTGGCCTGCGGGTGGCTAATCCATGTTTGTCTCCATGGACAGGGAGATGTAGAGGCCCCGTTTTTGCTGGGCACTCTGTGCAGAGACCCCCAACTCACCACATGCGGGTGGGGACCACAGTCCCCTCTCACCAGATGGCCCGGAGCAACACACCCACTCCCAACATCTGGGCCAAGAGAAAAGCATGGCCTGTCTTGGCCATAGCTGGGGTGGTAGGAGGGTCAGATGCCCCCACGGGGGTCACTCTCTCCCAACAAGACCACCACTTCCTCAGGCATAATTTTATCCCCTGACTGAGCGGAATCCACATCTGCCTGGCCCTTCACAGTTGACAGAGCACGCGGTGTGCACACATAGCCCCATCTGGCTCTGACAGCAGCCCCAGGAGAGCCCGAGGAGGAGTACAGGGCAGGGATAAAGGATTCAGGCTCTTCGTCTGACACATGGGGAAGATGAGGCTCAGAGTGGGCGGGGTCTGCCCTGGAACTTCCCTGCTACAGAAGCCAGGCTCTTGACATGCCAAGTCAGGGCCCCTCAGAGCCCCCTCGCCACACACATACATGCACACACGCACACGCGCGCACACGCACACGGTCAACACACCAGCTTTTTCTCTTAAAATCAGCTGCCTCCCCACATTAACACCTTTTCATTCGACCCACTGTTGTTTGCTCAAGGCAAGTTGAAATTTTTAGGACTTCAAAACCATTTCTAGCAGTTTTCCTCTAAATTCAAATAACATAAAGACAGCTATAAGAAAAGTAACCAGATACCCTGGTTGGTCCAGATGGAGAGTAGTGGTTTGGCATTTGTCCCGGACAAAAGTGGCTCTGTCACCCCTGCTCCTCCCTCGGGAATGTCCTGACCCTGCTCCCATTCCTCTGGGCCCTCTGGGAAAGGGCTTGGTGTAGCCCCGGGCCTGGGAGGAGTGCTGCTGGAAGGGGGCACAGCCTGCTCGGATCCCAAACACTTCAGGAAGGGAGGCAAAGCACGGGCAGTTGCTGGAGGGTGCTAGAAGGCCACTCCTCATTGGCTTGGAGACTAGGAAGTATGCCTTCCTCAAGAGGCTAGGCCTGGGGAATTATCGGAAACCAAGGGTTTCTAGAGAGACCGGCGGCCTGAAGCTGGGAGAACAGGCCCTATCCAGCTGCTCTGGTGGGGCAGGTCTGCATCCCCAGTCCCCCTCCACATCCCCACCCTGTCTCCAGCTGGGACTGGATGCAGCTGGCCCTGGCGAGAAGTGGGTACCCAGAGGCGCACAGGCTGCCCGTGGAAGCCTCTCTCCAGTGAGAGCAGCATTTGCCGGCCAGTGGGCCCCAAAGTCACCCCTTCCCCTGTAGGAAGGTAGCACAGGCTGAATTCAACAGCTGGTAAAAAAAAATTCCCACGGTGGGACAGGGCATCCCAGCCTCAGGGGGGCCAACAACGCCCTGCTGTCCACCCTCCCCGGCGGGGGGGTGCAGCAGGGCCCAGACACCAGGACTTCATCGGGCTCTCCCCAACCCCCCGCGGCCCTAGTGGGATGCCACCTCCAAGTCACACACACCATTACTCCATTTTCATGGCAGCTAGGGCACAGACTCCAAGGGACCCCACTCCTACGTTCCCCGCGAGAAGGCAGGCCCTCCGGGGGATCACCATGGGGACGTCTGCGTCCGAACCCCCAGCATCAGCACCGCAGGAGGCACATGGCAGGTGAGCGGCAAGTGCCCGTGGCAGCAAACTGCGCCGGAGAATGGGGGGCTGGGAAGAGCCCAACTGTGGCAACCCCGAGGCCCAGGTGCCCAGCTGGCATGCTCACTGGCCACCGTGCAACCCCGGAGGAGCTGTTCAGTCTCTGAACCTCATCTACAAACAGAGCTGGAAACACCCAGCTGGCAAGGCTGCCGTAGAGAACCTACGTAGAACAGTGCCTCATACCTCACGGATGTTGGGAACATGGCAGAGAGGAGAGGGGGGCAGAGCAGTGTTGGGAGCAAGCTCTGGAGGTGGACCCACTGGGTTCAAACCCCAGCTCCACCCCTCAGCTCTGCAACCTTAGGTTTACTGAACTGCTCCGTGCCTCAGTTTCCCCATCTGCAGAAGGGAGTTAACGGTCATCAGGAAATGAGTTAGTACACGTGCTAAGCACACACAGAAAAGGATCAATAAAGTTGAGCTATTATGGTCTTCAGTGTGTTGAGAGAAGACAACCAGGGGTGTCTCCAGGCCTAATGGCCTCTATCCGACTCCGTCTCCGCCACGCCCGCCCCCCTGGGACCCTATCCCGTTGACCCACAGTGACACACCAGGTGGAGTTCGGCTGGGTTCAAGCTTCTGGAGGCCTGAAGTCTGCAAGTTACAGAGGTGCAGGTGCCTCCTCTCTCCCCCCCAGGGCCATCTTCTACATACGCTCTTGGAAGGTCTCTCTGCACGTTAATTACACACTTTAGTAAGTGTTAGGATGAGACACTGCCTGGGCAAGGGGGTCCAGGAGGCTCGGAGGCTCTGGCTCACCCACCCCCAGCCCTGGCAGCGGCTTCGCTTCCCAGGCAGTAACTCAGAGCCAAAGAACAGCTCGGTGGGGACAGGGCTGGGTAAAAATAGCCCAACTGGGCACATCCCAGCTCCCCTTTGCAGCCAGGCACCAGCAGGCACACGTGGAAGGTGGGTGGGGAGCAGGGAGGTGGTGGACACAAACCAAGCCTGGTGCAGGGGAGAAGCCAGGATTGCTGTCTGGGTGATGCTGAACAGGTGTCAGGGGGAAGGGGGGCTGGGGATGAAATCCCTTGTCACAATCCCAGCCAGCCCCCTGCCCAGGAAGTGTGACAGGCATGCTCGCAGTCTCCCTGGGTCTTCCCCATGGGTAGCAGAAGACTAAGGAGCTAGCTTGCGGATGCCAACGCCCCCAGGTCCAGATAGCAGGGATTGGCTCACCTGCGCCAGGATCCCCTTCCCACCACTGCGGCTCAGCCACCCAGCCAGGCACGGCAGCAGCAGAGATTAGTAAGCAATCCGGGCCGTGCCCGCCGCCTGTTTGTGGCTGCCAACCCCTGCCCCGAAGCCAGGCCTTACTCTGCAGGTGGGAGGTCGGTGCTCATCAGTGGCTGATAAGGTTCTCGCTCAACAAAGGGTGGCTCAGATGCGGTCAAGGGGCGAGGGTGGGAATAAAGGGGGAGGTAAGTTTCCGAAGCCCTGACTTCGGAACAGAAGTAACCTTGCCTCAGATACAAGGCCCCGGCTCTTCCCCAACAAGGTCAAGGGCAAACTGAGGAGCACCAGGTCACCAAGCCATTAGAGTTCATTTTTCGCCTGTCTTGGCCAGCCTTGGGGACTGACTGCATACGGTCAGATGAAAGCCCAAGCGTCCCACACCGGTGGGGGAGGCCAACGTCAAGAAGACAGGACAGACTGCCATGTTCCCGTCCCCAGGGGCCAGATCAGAGAGTGGCCAGGAACCACCCCTGTGTCATGCACTTCCTTCCCTGGCCCCTGGAAGTCCTAAGTCACCCAGTTTTACAGATGGGAGAACTGAGGCTCTCAGGCAGACGGGGTTCAGTCCCGGATCTGGCCCCCACCGGCTGTGGAAGCTCAAGCTGGTACTGAAAAGAGAAAGAGAAAGTAAGGCTCGAGTTTCTCAAGAGCTCCCAGGCCATTTGCACAGAGCAAAGGCACTCGGATAAGGAGGCCCTGCACACGCCCCCACAGTGGAAGGGGTGTGGAAGCCCACAGGGCCTTCTTTCCCATGCTCTTACGCACAACTCTTGCATAGGCTTTTCCCCAGTCTCACACTTCCGCTCCCTCAACAGACGCAGCTGCTCAGGTAGTGTCACAGGCGTGCAGGAGAAAGACAGGGCATGATGTAGCTCCGAGAAAAACTCAGAAATGAGGGTATCCAACAGCCCCCCTGGCAGCTAACCTAAGACCAGGAGTAAGCAAATTACACAGTGGCAGAGCAGGGGGACTGAGTCGTTAGGGATCTAATATTTCCCCAGGAAGGGGCTGACAGGGAGAGTCTACAGCAGGCCCTGGCAGCGTCCACCCGGGCACTGGCCAGAGGGGTCTGGTCTGGTCTGGTCTGCCTGCCCCGCATGGCCGGCCTGCCCCAAAGGCTGTGGGGTCCGACGTAGCTGGCACCAGGGCTAGAGATCATCCAATGGCCACTCGGACCTTCTAACCAGCTCCCCTGTGTCCAGGTTCACCCACCACACTTCTGATCACAGCAAGCTTCCAGGAGCCTGTGGTCGACGGGGAGAGGTGGGCTGCCCAAGCTCACTGCCAGGGTACACTTCTCACCGTCAGTCAGTCAGCTGGTGCTCTGGCTCTGCGTGTCCCTCTAGAGACAATCTGTGGGCATGGGTGGCACCCAAGTCCCAAAGGGGTGAGGGAAGGGCCAACAAGATCTGGTTCTCAAGCCTGTTAGGCTGTGGGCCAGACCCTGGACCCCATTGGGAACACCCGTCGCAGTGGGGTCATGCACTCCACTGGGAGACCCTCCAAGCCCCCTTTCCCCACCACGCCGCTTCTACTCCAAGAACATGTCAAAGCATTTCAAAAGTCAGT